AGAAGGGAGTGGCATGAAGTATCCAAGGTAATGAAAAGCAAGGATCTAAAACCAAAACTACTATATCCATCAAGGCTACCATTCAAAATTGAAGACTAAATAAAGAGCTTCCCTGATCAACAAACAAGAACTGCAAGAAATGCTAAAGGGACTGTTATAAGAAGAAGAAAGAGAGAGGAGAACATAGATACAAAGAATAAAAATGACAAGTAAATACCTATGAATAACCTTAGATGTAAATAGATTAAATACTCCAATCAAAAGACATAGGGTGCAAAATGGATAAGAAAACATGACCCAAATATATGCTGTCACCAAGGGACCCAGCTCAGAACAAGACGCACACAGGATGAAAGTGAAGGGATAGAATATACTTTCCATGCAAATGGAAAAAAAAAAAAGCTGGGGTAGCAATACTGATATCTGACAAAGTAGACTTCAAAATGAAGGCCATAATGAGAGACAATGAAGGCTAATTCATAATACTAAAGAGATCGACACTACAAGAGGATATGATCCTGGTAAACATGCACCCAATACAGGAGTACCCAAATATATAAAAATACATCTGGAGGACTTTAAGGGAGAGACTGTCAGCAATACAATCATAGTAGGGGACCTTAACACCCACTGACATCACAAGATAGATCTTTAAGATAAAAAAAAATCAACATGGAAACAGTGACCCTAACCAACACACTAGTTCAAATGTATTTAATTGACATTTACAGAACATTTCACAACAAAGTTGCAGAATATGCATTCTTCTAAAGGACACATGAGACATTCTCAAAGACAGACCACATGTTAGGACACAAACTAAGTGTCTATAAATTCAAGAAGATTGAAATCATATCAAGCATCTACTCAGATCACAATGGCATGAAACTAGAAATCACCTACAATAAAAACACCCCAAATCATTCAAACACATGGGAGCTAAATAGCATGTTATTAAACAATGAATTGGTTACTAATGAGATCAAGGAAGAAATAAAAAATTCCTGGAAACAAATGAAAATGAACACATAATGACCCCCAATCTATGATACACAGAGAAAGCAGTCCTGAGGGGGAAGTTCACAGCACTACAGGCCTACCTCAAGAAGTAAGAAAAACTTCTGATAAACTATCTAAATCTTCAACTTAAAGAATTAGAAAGGGAACAAGAAAAGAACAGAGTAAGTAGAAGGAACAAAATAATAAAGATCAGAGCAGAAATAAATGACATAGAGACTAAAATAAATAAATAAATAAATAAATAAATAAATAAAAAAGATCAATGAAACCAATAGCTGGTTCTCTGAAAAGATAAACAAGATTGATGAACTTTTAGCCAGACTCATCAAGAAACAAAGGGAGAGGAATCAAATAAATGAAATTAGAAATGAAAGAGGTGAATTAACAACTGACACCACAGAAATACAAAGAACTATAAGAAAATACTATGAACAACTATATGCCAACAAGCTAACAATGTGGATGAAATGGAAAAATTCCTAGAAAAATAAAATCTTCAAAAACTGAATCAGGAAGAGTCAGAAACAAGTGATGAAATTGAAGCAGTAATCAAAAAACTCCCAGCCAACAAAAACCCTGGCCTGGATGGCTTCACACGGGAGTTTTAACAAATATTCAAAGAAGAACTAACACCTGTCCTCCTCAAACTATTCCAAAAAATCCAAGAGGAAGGAACACTTCCAAGCTCTTTTTATGAGGCCAGTATTATACTAATTCCAAAATGTGATAAAGACACTACAAAGAAAGAGAATTACAAGCCAATATCTCTGATGAACAGGGATGCTAAAATCCTCAATAAAACAAAGGCAAACTGGATCCAGCAATATATTAAAAAGATCATGTACCATGACCAAGTGGGAGTTATTACAGGGATGCAAGGCTGGTATAACATTCACAAATCAATAAATGTGATACTACACATAAACAAACTGAAAGACAAAACTCACATGATCATATCAATAGATGCAGAAAACGCATGAGATAAAATTCAACACTCAGCTTTGATAAATTCACACTCAAAGCAAAGTGTGAATAGAGACATCATACCTCAAGATAATAAAGCCATATATGACAAAACTACAGCCAAAATCATATGCAATGGACAAAACTAACAGCTTTACCCCTAAGAACTGGAACAAGAGAGGGGTGTCCGCTTTCACCACTCTTATTCAACATAGTACTGGAAGTCCTAGCCGCAGCGACCAGACAAGAAGAAAACATAAAAGGCATTCAAGTTGGAAAGGAGAAAGTAAAACTGTTATTTTTCTCAGATGACAACATATTGTACATAGATAACCCTAAAGACTCCATTAAAAAACTAGATTTACTAAATCAATTTGGCAAAGTAGCAGGATACAAAATTAGTTCCCAGAAATTGATGGCATTTTTATACAGCATTAATGAACTCTCACAAAGAGAAAGTAAAAAAACAATCCCATTTACCATTGCAACAACAAAATTAAGATACTTAGGAATAAACTTAAACAAAGATGTAAAAACTGGTACTCAGAAAACTACAGGATGTTGAAAAAAGAGAGGAAGATAGAAATAAGTGGAAGAATATACCTTGTTCATGGATTGGTAGACTTAACATAATTAAAGTGTTCATACTATTCAAAGCAATCTACAGATCCAACTCAATCCCTATTAAAATACCAATGGCATATTTCACAGATCTAGAACAAATACTCCAAAACTTTATATGGAACCTAAAAACACCCCAAATAGCCTCAGCAATCTTGAGAAAGAAGAACAAAGTTGGAAGGGTCACAATACCAGATATCAAGTTATACTATAAAGCCACTGTAATTAAAACAGTATGATACTGGCACAAGAACAGGCATATAAATCAATGGAACAGAACAGAGAATCCAGAGATTGACCCATGCCATTATCGTCAGATAATATTTGACAAAGGAGGCAAGAACATACAATATAGTAAACACAGTCTCTTTAATAAATGGTGTTGTGAAAATTGGACAGGTACATGCAAAAAAATGAAACTAGACCACCAACTTACACCATACACAAGATTAAACTCAAAATGGATAAAAGACATAAATGTAAGTCATGAAACCATAAAAATCCTCGAAGAAAACTTAGGTAGCAAAATATCAGACATTTTAAGGAACAGAATTTTAACTGAAACATCTCCTAGGGTAAGAGAAACAAAGGAAAAAATAAACAAATGGGACTATATCAAACTAAAAAGATTCTACACACAGGAAAAGAAACCTTCCTCAAATGAAAAGAGAACCCATTGTATCCAATAAGGCGGTATTTTCTAAAATATATAACGAACTTATACAACTCAACAAATGGAAAGCAAACAATCCAATGAAAAAATGGGCAAAGGACCTGAATAGACATTCTCTAAAGAGGACATACAGATGGCCAAAAGACATGAAAAAATGCTCAAAGTCACACCAATCATCAGGGAGATGCAAATTAAAACTACAATGAGGTATCACCTCACACCTGCCAAAATTACTACCACCAATAAATCAACAGACAAGTGGTAGTGAGGATGTGGAGAAAAGGGAACCGTAGTGCACTGCTGGTGGAAAAACAGTATGGAGTTTCCTCAAAAAGTTAAAAATGTAAGTGATGTTTGACCCAGCAATCCTACTTAGGAGAATATATTCTAAGAATGTCAAAACACCAATGAGAAAGAACATATGCACCCCTATGTTCATAGCAGAATTATTTACAATAGCTAGGATCTCAAAACAGCCCAAGTCCTCATCAGTAGATGAGTGGATAAAAAAGCTGTGATACATTTACACATTGGAATACTATGCAGCTGTAAAAAATAATATCTTACCCTTTGAGACAGTGTGGATAGACCTGGAGATTACTATGATAGGCAAAATAAGTCAGCCAGAGAAAGACAAGATCACATGATATCACTTATATGTAGAACCTAATGAACAAAATAAACTGAGGAACAAAATAGATTCAGAAATATGGAAGCATGGAACAGAGTGACAGATCTCACAGGGAATACGGGCAGGGGTTGGGGGGAGGGACAAGATTAAACAAAGAACTTATATGCATACATGAATGGCATACAGACACAGACAACAGTGCAGTGAAGGTCTGGATTAGGGAGGGAGCTGGATGGAGGGTGGCAAAGGGGAGAAGATGGTGGAGATCTGTAATACTCTCAACAACAAAAATAGATTTTAAAAAATAAGACTGCACTAAAAATAAAATAAATAAGAACAATAAAATGGCAATAAATACATATCTATCAACAATTGAATCTAAAAATCAAAATAAACGAACAAGCAGAAGAGAAACAGACACACAGATATAGAGAACATTTTGATGGTTGCCAGATGGGAGTGGGGCTTGGGGGGGCTGGGTGAAAAAGGTGAAGGTATTAAGGAGTATGAATTGGTTGTTACAGAATAGTGATGGGGATGTAAATTACAGCATAAAGAATATAGTCAATAATATTCTAGTCACTTTGCATGGTGTCAGATGGGTGCAAGATTTATCAGGATGGTCACTTAGTAAGTTATATAATTCCTAATCACTGGGGTAGTACACCTGAAACCAATATAATAATATATGTCTTTCTTTGAGAAATAAAAAATGATTTAAAAAATAAAATTTCCTTCATTAAAAAACCTTAAATTGATATGGTTTTTAATAACACTCAACACACTGTTTTGTTTCAACTTCCACTTTGGTCTCCTATCACTTTATATTTTAAACAATTAAATTTCCTTAAGAACAAATGGTAAGTTCAGACTCATTTTCCTTTTCTTGAGAGCTAGAAGACAAAGTTTTCCAATTAATTAGTATGTAAAGGAGTAATATTAAACATATTTACTTATTTAGATCTGATATGATTTTGTAGAATAAAAATACAATTTTACCATAGCACCACTGTTTACTGAATTATCATTGACTTATCTGAAATGTTCTTCAGCATTCATACTTTTTTTCACTTGACAACTTTTGTAGAATACCTTGTGAGAATGTACAGGCAACTCAGTGATGATATTCTGTACAGCTGTTATTAAATGGCCACATTGTTTGTTTAATCTCAGAAGAAAGTTGAGGAACTCATCACCACTAAAGAGAGGAAACAAACAGGAATCACTCATATAAGCCATTTACTTCATTCTACTGGGCTACTTAGTGTCTAGTCATAACATTTATTAGATTCTCTAATATGTATTTATAGAATAGCCAATATGTATCAGCAACTGAAATAGACATTGAGTATACAAAGTAAACCAAATCTCTAATCTTGAGGATCTCCAAGCTCAGAATGAGAGGCAAATATACAATTATAACATCATTACTCACAGTCATATGAAGAAGGAATAAAAAAGTACTTACTTGGGGTATCTACTATCTAAAGGCACCACACTAATTATTTTACAGTTATTCTTTTAATTGCTCCTAACTACTCCTTTAAGGTAGATGCTGTTAAGCTAAGTTTATAGTTGAGACATCTAAAACACAGAAACAATGAATTTAGTATAATGGGAATAGGGAATTAATAGTGCTTCATAGAAATGATAACTTGAACTGAGTCTGGAGCTTTAGAATAAATTTGTAAGGAAGGAAGAGAAGGCAATGAAGATAAGAAGGAATTAACGGATAGAGAGAATAGCAGGTGCATAAGTACAAAAGTAGGTCACCAAGATATAACTGAAGCATAATTATGGTATAGTAAGAAAAGAGGATCGACATAATCATTTATTTAAGGAACTTTTGTGATATGCTAAGGAACTCAATTTTATCTTTTTTACAAGGTAGAGTTATTAAAGGAATTTAAACAGGAAACTAGAAAAATCGTATTTTTGTATAAGAAAGTTTATGTGAGGAGTGGTGTAGATTAAAGGAACACGAAAGTGAAAGTAGAGAGAATAATTAGGAGACTAATAGAAACATCCATATAAGATAGCGATTTTCAAGAGGCACACGGGTGTGCATTTTAAAACATGCAAAACCTGACTATTCAGTCAAGGGGCACTGACCTCTTTTCCCTTAGATTGTCAAAAAAATGACAACAGCCAACACATCAGTAGCCATTGGTGTGAATGAATCAAAATTATACCTATTTTTTTTGTCAGATCAGAATTTTAGTAATTCGTTTATGCGTACCATGAGATGAAAAAGGTTGAAAATCGCTGATCTAAGAGATGATGAAGAAAAGCTTAATCTAAGGATCTGGCAGTGGCAGTCTGATTGGGGGAAGGGGTAGAATTGTGTTTTAAGAAACATTTTGGAGAATAAACTGAAAAACTTGGTGAAATGTTGCATATAAAAGAAAAAGAAAGTCTAGGGTGATTCTGTTGTTTGGTTTCAATGGAAGGTGGTGAAACCAAGTAGGGAACTAAATCTAGGGGTGGGTGGTAGAGAAGAAAGTGGGGTGGAGATAAAACATTATGACGTAATAATTAAGGACAGGGACTCTAGAGTCAGAAAGACCTGAGTTTGAATTCAGTTTCCACATTTATGATCTTGGGTAAGCTTAATCTTCAGCCAAATATTTCCATATCTCTGGAATTGAGATAATAGAACTGTAAGGATGGCTGAAGGAGATAATGTATGAAAAAGCACCTAGCATTTTATCTAGCATATATATGGCATTGAAATAAACTTAATTATAATAATGATATCAATGATATGAGATATGTAGGTGAAAATGACCAGTAAGCAATAGAAAATGTCAATCTTGCAGGGGTAATTATCCTGGCGACCACAAACTCATGAGACTAAATAGAATTCAGGGAGCTGGTGAACTTAGATAGGAAAAAAATTACATGCTTATTTTTACTAACTCTAACAGAAGTTCAGTCTTTCCTTCAATTATGAATGGAGACACAAACTATAGTACTATCAGTATATATTGTGAAGAGGGGTGAGCTTACAGAGGTAGGAAAAAAAAGCTATGAAAGGAAAAGTAGCCTGAGAAGAAGGAAATCAGGAGTTAAGGCGTGTTATGAAAAGCAATGAAGGGAATGGATTTAAGAATGAGGAAAATGTCAAGCATGTTACATAATTAAGATAAATCCACTGATTATGGAAATGAAGAGACACTGGTGACTAGATTAGTTTCAGTGACAGAAGCCAATTTACAGTAAAAGCTACACAATCCAATACAAAAGTAGAGCAAGGGTATGAATAGGTAATTCAAAGAAAAATAAAAAATAAAATTTTAATGGATAATATACAAAGGATTACAATAACATAAGATGTTACCTTCTTGTGGAATGACAAAAATTAGGATTATTAATATCAAGAGTTGACAAGTGTGTGAAATAACCTTCTGCAATCATTTAGAAGTATGTCCTATAATAAAAATGCACACAACTACTACTATGGGACCAAAAGGTACTTCTGAGTGCAACTAAAATTCTTATAAGGTAGAAGTTTTGATTATACACTATACAAAGTTTCCTTCATATTATTTCTGGGAGAAAAGGTTATAAACAGCAAGCAAGGTCTGCCTCCAATGAAACTTAACAGCAAACTTTTCTCTAAGACACACTGCTAGAACTTATATAGTATTTTAATTTAAAACAAGTCTTTTTTCTTAACTATTAGGTTGAAAAATAAACAGTTTATATAAAATACTTTAAACTTTATGAACAAAATGACACACTAGATCAGATGGATTTAACTGATATCTTCTGAGCATTTCAACTCCAAAGCTGCAGAATATACATTCTTTCCAAGAGCACATGGAGAATTTTCTAGGATAGACAACATGTTAGCACATAAAACAAGTCTCAATAAATTTAAGAAGATTGAAATCATATCAAGCATCTTCTCTGACCACAATGATACAAAACTAGAAATCAATTACATGTTACTAAACAATGTATGGGTTAACAATGAACTAAAGCAGGTGTGGGGAATGTTTGACCTGTGGGCCATATATGGCCAGCAAAATCATTTGGCCTGGCCCTGCCAAGGCAACCACCACAGGAGGGACTCGAAATTTAATAAATCTAGGAGTTTTTTTCATATCTAATTTTTAAGTTTACAATTTTGTATGGCCCGCAAATGATGTTATAAATATCCAAATGGCCCTTGGCAGAAAAAATGTTCCCCACCTCGGAACTAAAGGAATGAAAAATTAGCTTGAGACAGGAAAATGAAAACACAACCCAAAATGTACAGAGCACAGCAAAAGCAGTCCTAAGAGGGAAATTCATACCGCCACAGGCCTACTTCAAGAACAAAAAAATAAAAAAGTTCAAATAGCCCTAGCCGGTTTGGTTCAGTGCTTAGACCCCAAGGACTGAAGGGTGCTGGGTTCAATTCCAGCCAAGGGCACATACCTCAGTTGCAGGCTCAATCCCTGGCCCTGATTGGCACTTGAGAGGGAGGTAACCAATTGATGTATCTCTCACATAGATGTTTCTCTCTCTTTCCCCCTTCCACTCTCTGTGAAAAGCAATGGAAAAAATATCCTCAGGTGAGGATAAAAAAAAAAAGAAAAGCTCAAATAAACAACCTAACCTTACACTTAAAGGAACTAGGAAAAAACAACAAAGCTCAAAGTGAGTAGAAGAAAGGAAATAATAAAAATCAAAGCAGGAAATATATAAAATAGACTACTAAAAAACAATACAAAAGATCAATGAAACCAAATGCTGTTTTATTGAGAGACAAACCCTTAAGCAGACTCATCAAGAAAAAAAAGAGAGAGGACCCAAGTAAAATCAGAAATGAGAGGGAAGCGTAACATCTGACACCACAGAAATACAAAAGATTGTAAGAAAATATTATGAACAACAATATGCCAACAAATTAAACAATCTTAAAGATATGGATAAATTCCTAGTAACATAAAATCTCCCTAAATTGAATCAAGAAGAAACAGACTATCTGAACAGGCTGATTACAACTAATGAAATCAAAGCAATAACAAAAAAACTTCCAAAAATCAAAAGTCCTGGACTGCATGGCTTCACAGGTGACTTTCACCAAACATTCAAAGAACTAACACCTATCCTTCTCAAACTATTACAAAAAATTCAAGAAGAGGGAAGACTCCTAAGATCATTTCATGAGGCCAGCATTATCCTAATTCCAAAACCAGATAAAGACACTACAACGGAAAAAAGTATAGGTCAGTATCCCTACTACACAGAGCTGCAAAAATCCTCAGCAAAATATTAGCAACCCAAATCCAGCAGTACATTTAAAAAAATCATACACCATGATCAAGTGAGATTTATTCTGGGGATGCAAGGTTAGTACAAAATCTGCAAATTTCGGTGATATATAAACAAAATGAAGGATAAAAATCACATCATCATATCAATAGATGCAGAAAAAGCATTTGACAAAACCCAGCACCCATATATGATAAAAGCTCTCAGCAAAGTGGGAATAGAGGGGATATACCTCAACACAGTAAAGGCCATATATGACAAACGCATGGCCAACATCAGGCTCAGTGGGGGAAAATTAAAAGCACTTCCTTTAAGATCAGGAACAAGACAAGGATGTCCACTTTCATTACTCTTATTCATCATAGTGCTCAAAGTCCTTGCCACAGTAATCAGACAAGAAGAAATAAAAGGCATCCAAATTGGAACAAAAGAAGTAAAACTGTCATTATTTGCAGATGACATGATACTGTATGTACAGAACCCTAAAGATTCTACAAAAGTTTACTAGAACTGGTAAATAAATTCAGCAAATTAGGAGGATACAAAATAAATATCTAGAAATCAGTTGCTTTTTCTATATACCAATAATGAACTATCAGAAAGGGAAACTAAGGAAACAATCTCATTTACAAGTGCATCAAATAAATAAATATAGTGGAACCTTGGTTCTCAAACTTAATTCATTCCAGAAGGCTATTAGAGAAGCTATTTGTTGGAAAACCAAATCATTTTTTCCCCTTAGAAATTATGTAAATTGAATTAATTCGTTCCAGACTCCCAAATAATTCTGTTTTAACCTTTCTTATATACAGTACATGTCTAATCTACTGTTTAATCTATAAAAAAACATGTTTTTTCTTAAATTTATTGAGCCACTCCCTACTAGCCTTAAACGAATCACTTTCAGCACTCATTCCAGGGGTGTGTTCAGGT